TTTATGTTAATTATAGTTGTTGCATTCACAGGTCTCACGGTAGAAAACTGTTTTTTTTTACCACGTTACTTAGTTTTGGTGAAGAAACAAGACATTTATTTTTTATTTTTAAACAATCAAAATGTATCATTACGGAACAGCTCTTGAGGACATTTCTCGAGTTTGCGCTGTACTTTGATTACATTTAACTCGTACCTATTTCCCCCACCTGTCCACTTGATCTTGTCCGCAACTGTAATTAATTTCGAGCACTTCTGTCTCTTTCCAGGCAACATTCCGACCATACCGTTCGATCGACAGAGATTTAGTTATTGTCGGAGTCTGTAATCGTCCGGTAAGGAGAATCGAACAGGGCGTTAGCGTCTCCCCCGGACAATTGGATAGAGCAGATTCCGGGTAAATTACAAGCACAAAAATGATCCGTGTGGGTCCGGTAGGGCCCACCGATGATGTCGCTTCGGAAAACGTCCCGAGAACGCAGCTGTCCAGGTATTTGCGTGCCCCAATTTTCAACCCGCGTGAACAAAGCGCGAAGGGGATGGAAGGGTGCTGGATGAATGCTCTCTTTTCCACTCTACACCCCTCGAAACGCGTCCTGCGGTCTAACGGAGCTCCGAGTTTCTGCCTTTCGATTAAATACCATTAATTCGATTCTCAGTTTTCAGAAAGGCGAAATTGCTCCCCCAAATATTCAAGCGCATAGGACGTTATGGTTTCTTTAACGATTGTTTAGAAATTGAAGCCTGGTGATAGACTAGACTGTTGGTTGTAGACTGTTTCGTAGAGACGATCACGCATATCACCGTACAAACACCGTGTATCAATGTCTCTGTACAGCGTATACGAGAAAACGTAAAGAAATACGATCCCTGTTGGCTGGGAGCAGCCACGGTATGAATCGATTCTCGACCGAGATGAGCCTCGTAGTAATTCATCAGCGTGAACGTAATGTCGAGAGTAGCGCCTCTATTACAACACGTATCGAGAATTAATACTTTATTTGTGTGTCGCTCCAGCTGCGAGGATCAACACAAGTGCTACCCTCGTGACAAGAGGGTGCACTTAATGCGTCCCTGATACGCGAAAGGGACCGTAGGCGGGATTCTATGGTTTGCTAATTTTCACGGGATCACGGTACCGTGACGTACTCGTCGAGCCGATTAAGTTCAACCTGGGGTACCGAACTTTCGCGCCTCCTCCCCTTAAACCGCTACATTTTTTCGATCGAGACGAGAGCGAAATGTGGTGGACAGCGGTCCCTGAAAGCTTTGCAAATTAAAGAAATCAATGTTCGACCATTTAGCCGGGCTCGATATCGTATTAAGTTGCCTAGAAAGGAGAGAATGTCATTTTCCAGTGTAGATAGCAATCAACTTCGGTTTAATTTTTTAGCGGTATCTATTGATAGCAGACGCTTCCTATTGCCACAACATCTTCAAGATTTATTTTCATCTGTATCATCGTACACATTGTTTTAAAAAAGGAAAGAACGCAACTCAAGCGGGCAAAAAGTTGTGTAATGATGATGTTAAATTAGCGACACGATATTCTAGGGTTCAAATTACTCATCGGACACAAGTGTTGTTTGTAAAACCGATGCAACAAGATAACATTCTCTGATAACGATAAGAGCAGGTGTATGGACACACCTGCGTCAATCGTAGATAAAGTTTGAACCACTTTTCATGACGCGATAACGACGAACCCTCGATCAGCTAAACACTAATCTTATTTAATGTTTGTTCTTTATCGGCTTTTAAAATATAATTTGCAGAGATCGTACAGTGTCACGACCCGAGATCAAAAATAAGAACATCGAATGTTTTAATTTTCTATTTCATTTCATAGAATTGATAATAAACACTCTAACGCGTAAACGTCGTAACTTGATAACATACATAAGTAACAGATTGAAAATAATAATCACGTTCAAAGACGTATAAGAATCACACAAGCCTGAAGTTAACAGATAGCGTATGTTTTTGTTATATTTAGTAGTTATTATTTTTTTCTAGTTATTAGTTAGGTTTATTAGTTTTCTACTTCCAAGTTATTAACGTTTAAAGTTACGCCGGTACTGAATTTTTTTCTCGAATATGCGTAGGATTTTGAGGGTATGTCTATTCATAAAAAATGATTGTAATTGACCCATGCAACCGAAAATAATTTTTCCAGAACGATTTGAAATTTTTTAATAACTTTTTAACGAAACCTCATTTATCAAAGAATTGATATTCTTGATTTTCTTATTTTGGGCTTTAGAATCTCCCTTTAAAATTGAACAGGGGTGCTCGAACACCCTGTATACAATACATATGTATAAGTAGAGGAAGAAAAAAAGAGGACATCGTCCGGAGAAGGCCGACTCGGGCCGATTCATCCTGAGGGCTACGTGTATCGTCCCTAATTGTCCACAAATCGACGACCACCCTCGATTTCCGAACCGTTAAGTACAACCACCCCCGTGGCACCAGGGGCGTTCCGCTAGCTCCGTTCGAAAGGGTCCGTGGACAACAGAGTAGAATATGGATTCAATTACACATCATTGTGCCGCGGTGTCTATAAACAATGCTGTTTTCACAGCTGATAACGGCCCCACGTTGTGCTGCGGGTTGATGACATACACATACGTACTTACTTACGAACATGAAAATAATTATTACATTTTCATTGTCTCTATTATATTATAGAAACTGTTTGTTTAATTCAGTTCACTTTGTTTCTCGAGTATTTTATATGTATTTTCATCCATTTCGTGGTCAGTTCTGGCTAGGAACTCGTAATATCGTGGTAGTAGCGTGTAAACGATCGTTCGCTTCGGGCCTTTAGAAAGTTCCGGTTAGGTCTGCACCAGGAACCAATTTTTCTTTCTTTCAAATGTTTCTTTGTCGTTATTGTAGGCAGTAGATAACGTTTTGACATAAATCTACTTACGAACACTGTCAAAGTTCACGTTTATAACATTTGTTTCGTACGTTTGGCCCTCTCGATCGGTTCTCGCTGAGAATTAAAACGTTAATCGCGAGTTTGGGCAAAAATATTATATAATGCCCAATTCTTCACAACGCCGCGCCGTGGTGGAATCAATAAATTTGAATTCTCAGCGGCAGTTTCCCTCGCAGTAGCAATATTTTCTTCTTCCGTGGCACTACGTTGACACGTATTGATCAATAACCGAACCAGTGCCTTCGAATTCATTTACCAAAAGACGAATCGTAAGTTCTGTCGATCATAGATCAAACCAAGCGCGCCCATGAACTTTGCAAGTGACAATAGTATGTAACTAGTTTTATCCACGCTTTTATGTGATTTAAAGTGACGATAATGGCGTCGCCAATGCCACCAAAGGCATAGGCTTTTCTTTTACAAACATTGTTCTTGAAATGTTTATATTAATTTTAGGGTGAACGATAAGGATTTCTAAATAAAAGACCTGGCCTCTGAGCGGGGGAAGGTGAAGGAACCTTTTGGTAAGAGGACCATGGTCGATCAAGTGGCACTTACCCCACAACCTCGCGACGCTGCACATCTTTTTATGATTTTCGATATACATACGTACAAGTGACCATAACTGCGTTTAACCGTGTTCGCGAGCGACAATATCGTTCGTGTGTCTGTGAATACTCGACGAGCAAGTAAGAAACGTATAAGCGAGGAAATTTCAAGTCGAAGCGTTTAAGAAGCAAGAAGAGAGTACAACTTACCTAAGTACTCGGGAGAGAAACAGAGTAGGTACTTACTCGACAGAGTACCGTGGCAAAAAAAAACGGCTCTCGCCCCATTAACGTATCAACGCTGAGAACCGTGGAAGATAAAACGAAGAAAAGTTGGGTATTTCGGTATGGAAAGTAACGAAGAGGGAACGACGGAGGATCGTGTCGTGGGAAGAGTCGCAGCCGTCGCAGCCGTCGCCGCCATTATTCCCGCGTCATAGAGCGTCGCGACGCCGCAATATCGACGTACCGCCCACAATTCTCTCTCCGTCCCTTCTGTGATTCTCTTCTCGCTCGCTCTACCTTTTCCGACGAATTCTCTGCTAGAATTTGGCGGAGCTTCTTTTCGGATAGTCCGCCATTTTGCGTCCCGAACTTCGTACCATTTACTTACTTACTCTTTAATGGTTTATCGGTCCTCGAAGTAAAACTTTGGTAATTTGTACAACGGTTAGAAACTCGTAGTAATATCGAAGATTTGGAAATGGAGAAAATTATTTTAAATTATTTAATGCTCCGACTCGTCCAATCCCAAATAGTCTCTATTGGTCCAAATGGATCGCAACAAATTGTTCGGTAAAAAAGAGTGAAAAATTCGGGAAAAATGGACGAGGGTTGGCATGAATCGGAGACAGTATCGAATTCGATGAGCATATTAATTTATTTGGCTTCAACGGTGTGACAATCATTCCGATACTTTTTCTTTTTTTTGCTTTTCACGTACAAACATATCTACTTACATTATTTAGTTGTGACCGTGTTCTATAATATATTTACAAATGTAGCACGCGTTTACGTGAAATCTGTCGGATAATGTGAGAAGAATTTCCGAAGAAAAAAAATAAATGGCATATTCGTTGAAAAGGTACAGATATTCCGACAGAATTTTCGTAAGTAGTTTTCTCTTTGTACAAGCGTCGGGTCGCCGCGTTTTTACCATCGTTCGAAACAAATCGGAAGAAATATTTTCCAACGGAAAAATTTCTACGCGTTTCACGGCGTATTTCGTTACAAGACTAAATACTTGCTACGTTTCTGATTCCTCTTTCTCTCGTTAAAGTACGATAATAATACTGTCGACGTTATCGTCGGGGCTTGACTAGACGTAAAATAATCTGCCTGATTTCTTCAATTAAGAGACAGAGTTGCGTTCAATTGCACAATAATGTTCGACAAGTTGGACTTTTCGTTCGAAGGGAATAACCACGGAGATAAATTTTCTTCTAATTTTGCAAAATGAAACTATATCAAAGTACATATAGTCTTTATAGAGCGTATGGGTCGAACGAAGAGTCGATTAATTTTAAAAGCAATTCGAGCTACGAACGGTAAGGAAAGAAATACGACGGTGGATATAAATTATGGATCAACGACTAGAGCCATTTGTTCTTAAATACTAAATAACACGGGGCATGTTCAGACTTAACGATTAAAACCTGAGTTTACTCGAACGACGAGCCGTTTTTCGATGCCCGCGGATCTTCCGGCGTCCAAACTTTCGCGTACATCGTCCCGTTCGGGGAAATGTCCGACTTCCTGGACCAGGATAGCGAGTGGAAAATAAAGGGGTTCCCTTCGCTGCCTGAAAGTTCAACGTCATAAATAGTTAGCTCTCGGTGTTATATCACTTGTTAAAACGTGCAGAGAGAAGTTCTAAACACGTAGAATGCGCGTCACTTTTCATTTTAACGGATTTTCCAATCGAAGCGATACAAGTTTGAATTAAAATAAAACGGTGGTGGTCGTTTAAACGATATTTCATTTCACACGCAATGTCGTCGAACGAGCATGAAAACGAGCATGAAAACGAGCATGAAAACGAGCATGAAAACGAGCATGAAAACGAGCACCGGATTATCCTTTGTAGTTTTCATTTTATTTCAATTTCAATTTAACGTTCTATCGTTGTTATTGGGAAACCCTGCTCCGTGACCTTTCGAAACGCGTATCGTCATCATTTTCTCAATTTGCAAATAACTTTTTCGGAGCTTGGAGGATTGGCAAAAACGAGCAGTAGAAGAGAGAATAAAAAGAAAAAAATGTGAGTGCGATCGGTATTGGCCTCACCACGAACTATGACCTTCTTGGTATCGTCCCGACCGGAACACCTCGAGTGGCCGCCGTTCCCCGTCAATGGATCGTTACCCGTGTCCGCTCTGACTAGTTCGTTGAGAAACTTTATGTAACCGATAGCCAGCTTCAATGTGTCGACTTTCGAGAGCCTTTTCTCGTAGGGAAGAGTCGGTATGTGGGCCCTCAAGCCCTCGAAGGCGTCGTTTATGTTCTGCATACGCCTCCTCTCCCTCATATTCGCTGCCTGCCTCTGCTGCACCGCCTGTCTCGGGCTCTTTCCCGACGTTCCGTTACGTCTGTTGTTCTGACTCCTCCTGCAAACGATCATTATCCTTTTTCTTTTCTACGCAAACACGTAAATCGTTCCAAACAACTTGACTTTCTTCTAAATAAATTAGTAGCTTCTTTTCCTCGTAAGGGTAAGATAGCTACAGTCGTTATTAGTTCCGGAATAGTCGACTCGAGTCGAGGTGAACATTGTGTATTGGCATATACAGGTACCTACCCTACATATACAGTTTCAACCCTTAAGCCGGACTCTCGATCTCAATCGAATTATTTTACTTGATGTTGATTTCTACCAAATTGGTAAATGAATATAATTCAATTAAATAATTATGGGTTTAAACTTGCGGAGGGTATAATCCCACTTAAGGGTTGAATCAAGCTACTCGAATGTTTTGAGATATCTCGTTGACGGTGTAAAAATTGTTTCAGGTAAAAGTCGAATGGTGTCGGGGGCCACATAATCCGATGTAAGTAAACTTTTCACAAGTGGAAAGTATGTAGCGGTGATACAGGTAGAATTTAGAGAAAGCAATAGTTGAAATACTATTTAACCCTTTATGGGCCGAATTTTTTTCCGAAATATAAATTTGCAAGGCATTTATCTTGATGTTTCAGGTTGATGGTGCTGCCAACCGTCATCGGTATTGTTCAGAGATATTATACAAGGTATTCGGCCACCTCTGAAATAAGACGAAAACCAAGACTGCCAATTCGTTGATCGAGGCTTCGTTAAAATATTATTATTAAAGTTTCGCCCGTAGAACGGCAATCTGCGAACAGCCGAGCATGAGAAACTCTACTTCCTGACGTATCCGACAGCTTCGCAGAACCTCTAGGACCGACCTATCAGATTTAAACGTTAATAACTTCCTAACGAAGCCTCGATCAACAAACTCTTAATTTTCGTCTTACTTTGCCCTCTAAAGTCTCCCATTAAAATTTTACCCCAGAGGTGGCCGAACACCCTGTACAATTAAGACGTCATCTTGTGAAAAAAGAAGTAAAATTATTTGGTAAAATTAAGTGTCGCTGTATCGGCATGTGATCTGAAAGTTACACGGACTGACTCATAGAGAGTGAAAATATTTCAAACATTTCTTGTTAACGATACGTCGTGTGAACATGAATCTGTTGGGTTATTAGCGAGGGTATCCGAAATCTTGGTATCGAGATTATGAATAGATAATATCGGCAAGTGCGAGTATAATTGTAATATTGCGTTATCGATGAAAGAGTAGTACTGGCAGTAGTACATATGTACTAGTTATCGTTTGCATATTATTTCTTTTAGCGATACTCACTCTCTGGAGTGATTCTCTTGGTCGCTGCTGTAAGCACTCTCATTGTCGCTGCTGTTCTCGTCGTACAAATAAATTTCGCTGCCGCTGGTGCTACCTGTGCTTCCGGGAGGATGGGAGGCCAACTGCGACGGAATAGGAGGAAGCGTGGCCGCGGTCGGCGGGCCGCAATGCGGTGGCAAAGCCGGAATAGCTGGATTCCCTAGGAAACTGTGCGCCTCGTACATGTACTGACGGTTCATCATGTCCAGCTCGATATTGTCCATGGAATACATCTCGAGGATTTTCTGTATTTTCTCTCTTCTCTCGATTAAAATATCAACGGACGCTGTAGGCTCGGACGCTGTAGGCTCGGACGCTGTAGGCTTCGACCGTTTACGATCATGAAATCGCGGGTCATTAGACTAGAATCGAAGTTGACTGGACGAAGATAGACGGGGAATCGCGACTCTATCGCGTCGTACTCGCAAAGTGTTCCCAATCGATCGCTTCCGACTCGCGCATTTCACAAGTGTGGAACTCGAGACTCTATCCGCTAGTAAATTCTCGAAATAAATAAACGTTCGAAGCCTCCGAGCGATAGATAGAGCACTTGGACGAGCTTGGCGATCCTCGGTTTACACTCGAAATTAGCAGATCTTCACCGCCGGAATTCCTGTCCGCGCACCCTTGATCACGTCCCGAGGATCTACAGAGATCCTATCAACGCCACGTGTCCCCGGCGCGTGCTACGAAATGCTTCTAAACACCGGCACGTGTCGGCAGTAGACGAGGACACGTGTTCAGATTTGTCGAAACACTTATCGGCGTGTCGGAGCTGAGCGAATCGGGATCCTTCCGGGGAATGGCACCAGATCCAAAGTACTCCGAGAGGATCGTCTTCATCCTCGATTCTCGTCGCGAACGTTCAGCAACTCGACCCAACGGTTCGGCAAATACTCTTTTCCGCTAACATCGTCGTTCTCATTGTTCGCAGGTTGGATTCACCGTTCGCGTAAAGCAAACTGTTTCTCGATAGATTCGTGGCGGAATTCTGGTAGACGGTGTCGCGTTTGCAGATTGATTTTCACGTCAGACGAAACTGGCCAGCGACTCTCGATTGGACATTTTGCTTCGAACGATGTTGCACGACTGAGAGAGAAAAGCGTGTGGAAGGCGGGAGCCATCCCCGGGGTTGAAAACCCAGCTACCAACCCCATTCGTCGAGCTGCCCGCTGGCGGATCCTGCCTACCCCTGGTCGCCGGGCTGCTGGTTCCGCCTCTTCATCGATTCGATAAGGAAGCCTCCGGAGACTCGAGTTGCCGGATAAATGAAAAGTCGTAGGAAACTGAAGCAAATTCAAGGAAATTCTATGGAATCCCGCGATCGGAGAGTGTCAAGTGTCTAGCTATTCACCCTGATAGACGTCTCGCCTGGGGGAAAAACGTATTTCCACCAAACGTAAACAACCAAACCTCTCGACGAGTAAAATGTAGAGACTGCCAGTGCTTATTTAGAAAGCAACAATAAAATCGATATGGACCGCCAGCAATTCTTCGAACATAGAGACGCTTCAAAGATTTCGGTCGAAAATACTAAAGAGTGATCGCAAACGTATCTTGGCAAACGAGACAACTTCGTCAAGACCTTGGAATACAAACCGTGAAAGAAGAAATGATGAGATTTAGTGCGAATTACATGGACAGATTGGAAATTCATCCGCATCTTCGAGCTGCCGATCTCCTGGATAACGGGCAAGAAAAACGTAGACTTAAGAAGCACCATCGTTTTTCTAAAAGCAGATTGATTGCAAATACCTTCGGAAGTTATTATAAAAACAAAAAATACGAGGGCCGTTTGATAAATCCGTGCAAAGTGTAAGAAATCACTCAACCTGTGTTTGGCGTTGATCCGGATCGATCGAGTACCATGAAAAAGTGGATTAAAAATATTGTTCGAAAGGCGAGGCAAACGGTCCAGAGACACGAAAACTTGGTAAACATTACAGCGAGTCTGCATCTTCGATCAGAACGGTCTGTAAGTGGTTTAATAACATTTTACAATTTACCATCCGACCACACGTCACACACCGAACGTTTTGGACGTTCCTTTCTCGAGGTTACTGCTCCAGAAATTGTTGACAAAGTCCAGGATCGATGACGAAAGAGACGAGAGTAAGATGGGTGCAGCGTTTGCTCGCACCGAATCAGTTTGATCCCGAAAAAAAAAGACACTTTAATTAAGAAGTAACAGTGTGTACGAATGTGTTTGATTCGACAACTGATTGAAACAAGTTCCCACGATGGTCTCGGTTCGATTGATCCCCGCGCAAGGCAACCTATATTGGCTACGATAAATGCAATTTTCCTATTTCTGTTCACGTGACGTGTCGCGCCGCGACGGTTGTTCCGGCGAGCATACTGTCGCGACAGACTGTGCTATTAAATAATAAAATTCTGCGACATATAATAACGCACTAGGAATCAGATGGAACCTGTTACGGAGACGCATAATTACACGTTACCGCGGTAGGGCCAAATGTTGCCGAAGCGGTTAACCCTCGATGAACCCATGCGCACCGGTTTCCAGTGCACGTGCACGGCACGTGCTCCTAATTTCATTTTCTATTGCACCTTTCATTCGTGGATAGTCTTTTTGCAGACAATCGAGGTTACGCCACGAAACTGCGAAAATTTCAAGGTCTCTGCACCATCGATTCTACTAGTATGGTTACGTTCGAATCGATTCTTTTTTTCGTTCCATGCTTCAATTTCGCATAAAGTTCTTTGCAATTTCGTGTACATATTTGCTGAATTTAGCCGTAGACGCTCTAGTGTTATTATTATTATTATTATTAATTATTATTATTATTGCTATTACAGTTGCGGATAGGGGAAGTAGGTATGAATTTGTTTGAAAAAACTGAAACTTTTCCAAAACAGAATAATCCTTGAACTAGACAGTTTGTTCGTTTTCGAAAAAATGAAACTTTTTCCGTGTACTTACGTGGATGTAGAAAAGTTAAAAGTGAAAGGAACTGTTATATCGGAACTAATTCGAGGCGGGAACGGTTTGGAAACGTTTTCTTCGACACGCCAACCGGACATAAAGTGCGATCCATTATCGATTTCCCACAAAATTTACTAAACGTATCTGTCGAGTTCGGATAATTAACACAGAGGCAATTAAGAGGGTTCCGTGCATTAGGATGAATTATTCGCTCCATCTGGTGTGCTGTTCCAAAGGAAATCAAGGAGACGATTTATCTGTTTCCCACGGATGCAATTTAGGGGGATCCTCCGATCTAGAACGCTATATGTAGACGTACATCGTGCAATAAAATTTTTTAATATTAATATCGAAGAGATTGATCAACCTTGTTCAAGTCGATTTTTCAAGTAAACTTTTGATAATCGTTTCCATTTAAGAATCACTTTGTGATCGTTCGCTAAGATGCAAGGTCGTTTTTGCCAAAAGTCACTTTTAATTGAGAAGAAATCCGTTTTTTAAATTCAGTTTACTTGGTCAAAATAATTGGTATAAAAACATGAGATATTTCCTTCCGTTAAATATATTAAATTAATAACGTTCAACAACCGGTGAAGTATTTCTAGCATAATTTCATGTCTGTCAACTAGGAGGGGGTTGTCGGGGAAATTGTTTGAAAGCCTCGCGGCTTCAGAAACTTGGTAAATAAAGTGGTTGTTTAACGATGTTACTGCTGTGTACGAATTGTTTAAAAATAACCGCATCACCAAAGTGAGAAGCGTCCGGGGATTGTTCGAGGCGCAGCGCAGCTTAGGTGCAAAAGCTTGCGAGAGATGTGGTCATTGCGCGGAAATCGATTCGCGGATCGTAAACCGCAGCCTGTCCGGATCTAATCCGAAACGAAAATAGTGGATCGGGACAGGTCCATTGTGCCATGGGATTTTTCATCCTCGAGATCGAGAGATAACCGAAGGGGATCGGATTTAAATGGCAAATCCCCCCAGGCACGTGCGCGCGCTTACACTCGATACACACGAGGAATTAAGTGTGGCGAAAACGAAGAAAAAAACCACCAACGCTTCTCTCCATTAAAAAACACTTACGTAGTTACTTTCGCTAACCATTATTTTACTATTCGAATATACCAGTTTCGCGGAAGGAAAGTTCAAGTTCTTCGGTATTTTCATTTTTCTCTCGCTAATGCAACAGCTTCTAGCTACAGATTATTAGTCGCGATATGATAAACTGGTATTTCGATATCGATATGAAATTCTATCTATGGACCGTCTGTTATTATTAACGGGGAGAGTTAGTTAAGAATAAAATAAAATCAAATTTATGTTAGGGGAATTAGAAGTAGAAAATTGGGCTCGAAAGTCGATTTACGAAAGCTCGTCTCTTCTCCTAGGGACGAACCGTGTGTGTAACCGATATTTCATGACACATCCTTGGCACTCGGTAACCCGTGTTCAACACCTGGTTATTCGACCCAGCCCCGGGAACATCCTGGTACCCGAAACGCGGCACAGCCCCTAAGTGTCTATTAATTTATACGCAGCGGGAGTGTGAAATCGATTTACGCATGCTTTCGATTCAGTTTTCGGTTTCGATGGACCAACCACCCTACCCAACAACCTTTCCTATCTTACGATGCAGTTCTCGAAACGAAATTTCATCAAAGTCACGAGAATTGAAAACCAATATCAACCCTTTGCTATACCATTTAATTTTATTTAAATTTGTTCGTACAAGGAATGACCACGAAAAAGGATAGGTACTTGACATCAAGAACTTGTAACGATTTGAAAAATCGTGTTATCTTTATTATAAACTAAACGTAAGGAATTTATAGAAATTTTACGAAATTTTCATAGGAACGACCCATTATTCGATTATGAATTGTAATACCGGTCTGGTAGAAAACATGGAATCGAATTGTCAGATTTTGTTGCGTGAAATTGTGAAATTTGATAGAACGGTAGAAAATGGCGTGTAGGATAGCGCAAGCACACCTTGCGCAATGTTTGTCCGAAAGCATCCGGTCGTAGGTGCGATCGAGCGTGTCGCCCGAATCGTTAGGTAATTTAACCATCGGTCACTACGAGCGAACTTCAAACCACCTGTCTAATATCCACTCCTGCATCCGTTTCCGGTACTCGGGGGGATGTTTTGCCCCCTGCGGTGTCCCCGTGACCGAGCCCTCTGCCAGGAGGGCACGATCCCTTGAACGTTCCATGGTTCGGTGCACAACCTTTACCCCTCGATTTCTCGTGCCCGTAGAATCGATTCGTTTTATCGGCGTACATCCCCGTCGCGCCGCGCCGCGCCGCGCCGCGCCGCGCCACACTCAATTTCCAAAACGAAACACACTCGATCGAGAATCCGAACAACGAGAGGAGATCAAATTTAACCCACTTGCATCTTCGCTCTGAAGCTTGCTTTATAAATCAGAGACACTCGACCGAAACTCTTCCAAGTATTGTATGTACATACACAGGTTCAGGCTGATTTAAGGTTTCGTTGTCGAGAAAAACAATTCTACTATATCTCGGAATAGAATTGTTTTATACGATGTCGGGACAGAACAGGACGAGAGATGAGAATCTGTAGAGAAAGGTCCACGATTTCCTCGGTACGAGATAAATACGTGGCAATAAGGTGGAAATTATCGACGAAACGAGCTTAGAATAATCAAGATATTTCTATTGGCTAAGGGGGATAATGGTATATCTCCGTTGATCTGTGCCTTTTGAATAGAACGTTTAATTCCAAAGTTCTGGCCGCGCAGGGCGAGCAATCTGCGATTGCTAATCTGTAAATCTGTAAATCGCCCCACCCCCCACCCCTCTATTACAATCTAATAAGATTCTTGTCTTTGTTAAGCCGTTATTATCATATTGCACAAGTACTTAAACATCTGTGAACTTGTTTATTTCGAAACCAATTGAAATGTACGACCATAAATCTATTTAAAAAATTGTTTAGCCAAACAGATTTAACGAGGAATATCTACAGAGTGAAAGAACATAATTATCGCTTGAAATCCAAAATGCGATTCACAAATATTCATATCAGAGTCGTGATACGAAGATTGTCTTACGATCGTGTTACGTTAAACTAAACGGAAACACTGATATCTTACGCCAAAACATGTACATCGCTTTCTATTAACGCTATACTCGTATCAAAGATCATTGAGCATCCAACGTTTATTAATAAAATAAATTTATTACAATTATTACATCATCGCGTGTACGTTTCCTTGATATTTTGATATTATCGCGAGTTTTGATAAACGCGTAAAAACATAAATGAATACATTGCAATTACATTATTTATAGTATACATATATTTTAGACTATCGCGAGTTTTATACTAACAATAAGAGGGTTTTGATATCCGTTTTAATACATATACCTTGTATATACGGATTAATAAATACGTAAAGAGCTAAATAAAAGTGATCGGTAATAAGAACCGCGAATAAATTAAAAGCTTGATCGATATAGCGACTCAGTGAAATATTTCCAGAAGTGACATATTGGAAATCCTTTGTATAAAATATTCCGATATGGAACAATGCCTGCTACGGTAGTACTTCTTCCTGACCACCTGGAAACCGCCATTCTCCTCTTTGGAATCCAGAATACGCGACAGCATCATGCCCCGACACTGGTCGATTTCTTTATCCTGAAACCTACTTTGCCGTACAAAGGCGCGTAAAGCCCGGTATCCGTTTTCTTGCGTATTTACAGTGGCTCATGAAAATACTCAAACGTTCGCTGATTAAAACTTTAAACGATCAAAATTGTCACTTACGAAGTGGACCTCGCATCTACCCGATTGAAATCCAATAAAAAATTTTCGGGTAATTTTATCAGGTGCAATATTCGTATAGAACAGGGTGTTCGATCATCCCTGGGAAAAATTTTAATGGGAAATTCTAGAGGACAAACTAGGACGAAAATCAAGATTATCAAGAACAATTTAAATCAACGTTTCAAGAATTCGTATAAAAAAGGGAATATTTGAAGCAACCCGATATAACTGTTACGAATTAAGTAATAAATAAATAATTGATCTTGGAAAAGGTTTGAGATTGTTGGGACGCGACGATCGATCGCATATGGAAGCTAGATCTTTCAGCGAAACTGATCGTGCGAAGAAAACACTGACCTGTGAATGAAACGAGGAGACCTGGCGAAAAGTATACCTCTCCAGAACAGCCATCGTGGCCGAGCATACTTGTCAACATCGTCAAAAACCAAACTGAGAACCAATTCGGTTGCTGCGATAGCGATCAGACCAGCCGACGTTCGACAAAATGCATCGTCCAGTAGCGTTACGTCGATCTGGAAAGTTACGATTCGTGCTATCGTTCGATAAACAAATAATAATTATATGGACAAATAAGATGGAATTGCGTCGAAAGAGAAATTTGTTTCGCGACCGTACCGCGTATCCGCCACAAAAATATAGACGCCTGGTTGTCCCGTTGCAAACGTTCATGTAAGATATACAATTTATCAGGCAGAAGTTGTACAGCGAGTACGCATCGGCGAACGTTGTGTTGAAATGTAGATTGTTTAATATCTTTCGTTCGTATGCCCTCAGCAGATCTTCTTTCCCTCTGTACTGTAGTTTGGCGAGGGCTAGAATCTTCGAAGCCTGCGAACAAGAAGAAAACTAACAACGATACCAAGATACGACACGCTGAGTTTGTCAAGCAATAGGGAAAACAACCAACGGTACGATTTTTTAATATTAATATCGAATCAAGAGATATTTCTTTACAAATAGACTTTTCTTAAAGTCGATTAAATTATAGATATATGTATGTATGTACCGTGCGAGACTGCTTCACCGGTGGAGGTAACGTGAAAATTAGTAGGAAAACGGAAACGGCCCTGCCTTGGACCTTGGAATATTGGATACGGGAGGTGAGTACGCCATGGATATTTTCCAGATTCGTTGAATCTGTAAGGTGACCAACAGACGGACGACACGATTTCGCTAACCTGAGGAATTTTCTGAAAGTTCTCGTGCTGTTTGACCGCGATCCACAAACTGGCCATCGCCGTCAACTGAATGTGAGTAGTCCTTACAGCGATTCGATCCATCGCGGCGTCGAATAATTTCACTGCTTGATAGACGACGTTGGACGAATACCTGCAATGGTTCTGCCCAGCGATCAAGTCAGTTCAAATCCGTCTACGACCATGGGAAACCACCTATTCGTTTCTTCTTCTACTTACTCCTGCATGAATCAGGAAAGCGACCACCAGTTTCCTCTGCTCGGCATTCATGTGTTGCTTCAAAAAGTTGTTGGATAATTTTGGCGACTGTTTCTCTCTTTCCAGTTCAACGATCGGTAGTTCGTCGAGATACTCTACGTTGTAGTACAAGTCGGGAGGCAACGAATCCATTGCCTCGGAGAAACACCGAGGCGGTTCTTCTTCCCTGATTTTCAAAGTCGATGAGGCAACGAGGTGGTTCACCCGTCGAACCATCACCTAAAACATCCATTTATTTCTTTATTCCATATACGAGCAATAGATAAATATGACACAGAGACCTTGGAAGGAACCAACGGCGTTCGCAGCGTGACTCCATCGTTGCCAGGTGTTGCCGCGTTCCTGAATCGACAAGTTGTCAACGAACATTAACAAGAAATGGTAAATTACGAAAAGGCTCGCAACAGTCTTTGACGATAATTTGTACCTGGTTGCTGCGACGTTGTTCGTACCGGTGCATCTTGTCTCCGTTCGTCGATTCGACGGAACAGCAGTGGCGGAGTTTGACCTAGAAGCAACGTTAACGGTTGCATTTTCCAATGAAACGTAGTCGCCAGCCAAGAGAATCTCACCTTACGCGAATAGGAATTTTCGTGTGTAAAAATTTACGAACGGTTTGCGTTCCAGCATCCAACGAACGTTTTCGCGGAACGTGAAGCAAAGTTGCAGCCTTCACCTCCGACTGAAAACGAAAGAAAACGTAAGAAAACGTAAGAAAACGTAAGAAAACGTAAGAAAACGTCGTTAACGTTCCCCGGTTAACAGAATCACTTCCTTCCATACCTGTTGGCCCTTGTTATCTTCGATCGCCTTGTCGCGGTGAACGTGGAAACGAGTTTTCTTCGTCGAAAACGTTTTCGCGATCGAAGGATGCGATTGCGCGCCAACAGCTCCATTCCCTTTATTTGCATCGATAATGCTGGGTTTCCTTAACTGTTTAAACGTCGCGTTCGCAGCAGCTTGCGTATTTTCCTTCCCTCTCGGTAGAATTTTCGACGGACCCCTTGATTTCACGGCCGGTACGATCCGCGATTTTGGTATCGATGTTTCATCGCGTCGGTTCATCGTTCTTTTATCTCACGAATCTAACCGATCCCCGTTCGATTAGAAAAGTTAATGGCAAACCAGTAACACGGATGTTCGTTCCGACTCTATTGCTCGACTACACGCCACCAATCGGAGATGTCGCGTTTTCTTACTCTGTACGTTTGCAAGAGTACCTATACAATCCTTGGAACGAATATACATATACTCGATGCTTGTATAGATTCGTAAACGAACTTTTTTCCCGTGTTTCTGTTCCCGCGGACGGTCAACACGGAACGATATTTAACACGTGAAACTGTAACAGTCGAACGTGTCTTTTTTAAACCGTGTAGAGGAATGAGGTAAATAAATAATTAGTGACGCGTTGATCCGTTAAAAAGAACAGAAATAGCCTCGGGTCGATTGCCTTTTACGATTACCAAAAAATACAAATAAATAGCGATTTACTTCTGCTTATTTTTTTATAAAATTATAGATTATTTAAAGATTTATGTAATTTAAAAGCAAATTTTCTTGTTTAGCTTTTGCAATTTAATTGGATTCCTTTGGAAATTACTTTTCGCAATATTTAGTTTAAGTTCGAAACGCTAAGAGCGTACAAGTCGTATTCTAGACTGAACCGATAACGTCGGTAATCATACAGAAATGATAAGAGAAACACTCTCTCGCGTAAAGCACAGACAAAGTATACGCACACAGACGAGATATACGCGAGTAGACCTTTCACCAGAGACCAAATATACGAGTTTCACCTTTCACCTTATGGAGTTTCGTGGCCCAATCTGACTGCCATACCGACCGTGGTATTTTAAATTCCGAGGTGATTTTAGCGGCCTCTTCTCATGGATGGCGGTCAGTTGAGAAACTAGGCACTGAGAATTAGTGCAATAGGCAGCAGCTAGTGCGTGTAAATGCATACCAGTTGAAAATTAGGAATTATTCGCGATTCCTTGACTAGTTAAAGTTGTAAATAATTTGCTAAAATCAGTCTATCCGCGGTGTCTATCTCCAGACATCGGTCGGGTTCGTAATGCTGCAAGCTTCGCGAGACATCGGAGCTGCCCCCACCCTGCCGCCTAATTCGCGAGCGTAGCCGAGCACGGCGGGCGGCCATCATTCGTACTTTGACGTCGAGACGTAGCGGTGCTCCGCGACCGAGGTACTTACCTACATACTTACATACTTACGTATTTTTAACCTGTTGATTACTACTCGCGTTTTAATTACGATCTCTTGCAATACGGTTTCCATTTAATCATTACCTAATTATAATAATGGTTCGTGTACTTTAATGCATCGTTATTTCGTTTCTGTTACAGTCTCTTATTGGAAGTCGAAATCAAGGAATATGTAATAAGACTTGTTGAAACCTGTCAAGACATGTCGGCGTTTCACGACCAACGAACAAAGTATGCATTTCTAACCCTTTGCTATTTCCTCATAATCGATCATTGTTTAATTATCATTTAATTTCTATTTTATTTCTGTTGCAGTCTACGATTGAAATTCGACGCCATGGAAAATTTCATTGGCGCGTAAAGTACACCATAACAGATGGCAGGCGAGTCGAAAAATTTTTAAGGGTATATTGGTAACGTTTAAATAATTACAATAAAAATTTACATCCATATTAATATTTATCGCTTTATTAAGTTATCCGTTGCAAGCATGATTTTAATTTTGTAATCGGTCATCGTTAAGATAAAATATTAAAATAGTTAACAAACTTTCTATCTACTTCGATATACATACATATGTATATGTATGTATATCGAAGTATAGAAAAATGGCGTCGGTAGATATCAACGATAAATTGCAACAGTTTACATATATCAGACTGTATTCTGATCGCGATTAAATATTTCCTTCCGACTATTATTTATTCAATCGATCGTTTATATTTCTTTATGAATCGTTGTAATAATTGCAATTTGCATATACATATATGTATTTCGATACAAGTTTCAGTAAACGTAGTAACCGCGGAGTTGGAATATGCTATTCGAGCATAAATAACCAGCAAACTTTAATTCTTGCAAATTTCGGAATACATATTTATAAAACTTAGGGGATATTCTAACATTCGATAAAGTAAATATAATCATGCTTACAACTCTAACGATGAAATTTAGTGATATAATATTTATAAATTGAATAATTACTTGTACGTAATTAGTTTTCGTAGATAATATTTTATCGTTGAAATTCTCATCGATCGAGAATATTTCGCCTTCGTGGCATTGATTTTGTACGGGATAAACTATGTATGTATACAGCAGTGAAAAGTAAAGCAGTATTGACTGTTGACTGTTGACGAATTCTAGTAAGAAGAAAAAAGAAAATCGATAGGCAAAGCACAGATGTGCTTGTTTTGTTTCTTGTCTCCTGTCCCTTTCTTTCCAGGAAATTTGTTGGCCGCGTGCAATGCGGCCGGTATAGATTCAGTGATCGAGCGTAGCAACAAGTTTGTTTTTCGGGGCAAAGTGACCCCGAGTACGTTATCGTTCACGGTGTTAGGCAAACGCGAGAATAGAAGCAGTGTTTTCTACGCAATATTAAATTACTTACAGAGCATCGTGGCTCTTTCCGTTTTCTGAATCGCTATAATAGAATCATTTGTTCGCCGATTTCAATCTTCGGTCGCGGTATTCTAATTTAATATTTTCCAATCAAATTAATTATTTTTTCAATTTGAAAATTAAACTCCTCGTTACCGGAATTAGAGTCGGTGCATCACCGAAGAGGATTATTTGGCGATGCTCCACGAGCAAACAATGTAGGTATAAATTTATACTTTGGAATTTTTAATTAAAAATCTTTACAGTTTTAACAATAGATTCTAATTGTTTTCTTACAGTTTTCTTACAGATTCGGAACATGATCCTGGGAACGAGTAGCAGTACTCGGGGAGTATCGGGCGGTGGACCACGACCGAACAACGTAAGTATAAATTTATACTTTGAAATTTGTTAATTAAAAATCTCTATAATTTTAACAATAGATTCTAATTGTTTTCTTGCATTTTTGTTACAGTCTCTCTCTGGACCTGAATCTTACCAGCAGGACCATGCTGACCGATGGATGACTTCGGGGGCTTCAAGTCATCACCGGTAGGTAAGTCGCATGCCATTTTGTTTCCTCTGGTCCCCAACCATGTTGTAGGATGAAAGATCCGAATCAACACGGGTGACCAGTTGTATACTTGCTATTTTTCACGAGTTAAGTGAATAGTAACATCCACTGTTATATTTTTTAGAGCAGGTTTTAGGGTCTTCTTGCACTCGCGTTTCTTAATGTTACAAATGAATAGTACACATTATGATTATTATAAAATTTTTACAAATATCCAATCTTTATGGGAATATATGAAATATTTTTCTTAACTTTATACGACTTATATGATTGAATAGAATATGAATGAATATAATCTGAAAACATTATATGTATTTATCATGCGATTTAACGTGCAAGAAGGCATTTCGCGACAGGTCGATTTTTCAGTCAAAGTAACGTGCATTTTATACTAGCTTCATCTTTTAAAAAGTTTACTTTGACGACAGAATCGATCAAGGATAATTGAATATTTTTATTGACAATTTAATGAATTCATTTCAATTTTTAAAGTAAATTCTTTTATCATGAAATCTCAAGTAGAGTCTTTCGTTTTAAATAATTCAATTTCAATTATAATAGTTTTATCGAATAGTAGTACATATTTTTCAATATTAACATATTTTATTATTGATATATTACATATAACAAGTCGAGTCATTTGAACTAAAAATTAGATACGAAATACCGTTTAGCTGTTAACCAGTTTTTCTAGTCAGGATTTTCAGAGTAATTTTTCCGTGTTCGTTGCCTAAGTTCATGCACATGCCCAGGTGCTATTTGCACGAGCGAAGGCAACGGGGCACGATGAATTTACTTATAACAATTCAACGACATATCGAGGACTGACATTGGCTAGTGAATCGTGCGCGACGTACTGTCCACATGTGTGTGTGTGTGTGTGTGTGTGTGTGCGTGTGGTTAGGTTGTGGAAGTGCGTCGTTTCAGATGTTTTATGATTGCAATTTGCATACAGAATTTTATAACATTAGATTTCTATCAATAATAATATCAGATTTCAATTTATCATTTATTTGAATACCGTTGATCTTAATGGATTTGAATCTTAATATTTTTCAATCTTGAACGATACATCCATACAATAGATTTTATTAAAGACTATATTCCATATATTGAAACGTTCTATACAAACGTTTATCTATATAATATACATATAAGAACGCAAAGATCACTAGCCTTTGTCAGTCCGCCAGAAACTAGTAAGTGCACAATTAGAGTGTGAATGTTTGCAATATTCGGGTGTCGGAGGAACTCCCGGGGAGTCCTCTCTAGTTTAGGTCGCGCCCGAATATTATGCGTGAGAACCGTGGAGTGTTTGTTTTTGTTTGATTGAGTTTTGCAATTTTTTAAATATAGGGTTAGGTAGGTAGGTAACTTTTTCTCTGGTGTGTGTGCTCTTAATTTAAGTAGGTAGGCTCAGGGCAGGACTGTCCACATTAGTAATTCGGGTAGGCGCGTTTTCGCGTGGCAGTTCTGTTCCTCTAGTTCGAGTAGATTTCGAGAGTAGAAATGTTGCCGATTCAAACGGTGTACTTGTGCTGTTTGTTTCGGCTTTATTTTCGACTCCTCGAATCGCGCGACTCTTAAAGTCGCTCTCTCGCGCTCGCGGTCGTGATCAGGTCCCTTTCGAAACGTTCGTTCCCCTCGAGATTCACCACGTACGCTCTTGCAACAATTCGTATATTGTTGGAAGACTACGTATTGCACAAAATCTCGAGCCTTGTTTTAAGTAAGTTTCAGGCATCGGCAGGACCGCCGAAGAAAGAAAAGGCTCTATATGAGCTGAAGAGGCCCTGACAAACTGTCTCAAGAGCGGGCTACAACAAATGGCTTTTCATTTTCATCCTCGGATGAGAATGGAAAGTCATTCCTGTTACTACTTTATC